TTTATATTTAACAACAAACAACTAACAGTAAAAAATCACCAACTTAAAGTTATATATCTAAAAATATGAGAATATGTACTACATATCTTTTGTGTGTATATATATATATATATATAAACAACTATTCAAATATATGCTATATAGATATAGAAATCCTATAAATATACAACTATACAACTTCATGGTAGCATCCAAAACATAAACAACATTGCCACCCGCTTGATAGTCACATGGAAACACATAAGAGTAAACTAGAGTTTAAAGCATCAACATATACAACAAGAATTATAAGCAACAAGATTTTACAACACAACTCATGTTTCTCAGCATCAACATTTCAATACATTCAACTCCATCAACTTTACAACTACATCTACTACAATACAAGGTCAACTTACACAATACAACATTAAAAACTCAATTTCCAACACATTAACATACTTAATCACATATCAACACCACATATGAACAAGATAATTAAATTAACATATCATATGCATAACACGATAATTATATGTATCAGCACACGTTTGAACTAGGATTGACCTTACCGAACTAACCACACAAGGTGATTTTTTTGACTTGATAGATCAATAGCAAATTGGATATAAATCCACAACATAACAACTTGGTTTCTTGGATGTCATTACTTGAATTAGAAAGTCTAGTACCACTGTTAGGGTATAAAAGTTGGTATAGACCTATCATGACATTAACTAGGTTAACTAAGTTTTTTATGGAATTAACTCATTGACTATCCTCTAAATGTTATGTTCTTCCAATACCCGATTAGGAACTAAGTTTTTGATTTCGTATTTTACTTAGTTAGTTACTTGTAATCAGTATGGTTCGACCTAACCCTTATACTATGGTCGATGAGCCTCAAACTTACCCACACACGATACCAACTAAGTCCTGGAGGAGATTCAAGATAGCTATCTTGATGGAATAACACTAAGGCCAAGAAGTCCAAGAGGTGATGTATTGAAGGAAGCAAAAGGAATGAGTTAGTGTTGAAAAACCATAGGAGGAGTGAGGCCACTTTTGGACCTTAGCTCCTAAGTTTTTATTAGCATAGCATTTATTTTTATTCCTATTTTGCCCTTGTCTTTGATTTCCTATTTTACCCTTGTATCTTGGGGTATTTTAGTCTTAGAATTTATTTTACTTGTATTTCCCATTTTACCCTTGTATTTTGGGGTATCTTAGTCATAGGATTTATTTTCTTTTGTATTTCCCATTTTACCCTTGTATTATGGGGTGTTTTAGATTATAGGATTTTATTTTTGGGCCAAGGTATTTGATTAGGGTGGGATAAAAGCTATATGCATTTTTGGTGGTGTTTGGACCTATTTTTGGACTTGGAAAGGCTTAGGCCCAAGTGGAGAGCACTAGGTTGCATAGTCTTATCATGCACCTAGATGTAGCCTAACCAAACCCAAAGATTTCATCCTTGGCCACCAAGTTGCATCTAGGGTTAATTTGGGTTTCATTTGGTGTGCATTTGACATTGTGAATTTTGGCCATGCAACCCTAGATGCCTCCCACTCCTATAAATACCCTAGGCACCACACCTTGTAAATACTTTGGAAATTGAATATAAAGAGAGCATTTTGCCTTTATATCATCCTTAGTCACCTTGGTTATTTTCGGCCACCTCCCATCCTATCTCCACCTTGAGAGCTAAACCCTAGAAGTGGCCTTCACCTACCTTGAAGTGAGACAAACCTTAGAGTGCCCTCTCAAACCTTTCATCAAACACTTCACCCACACTCTCCATTTTTATCCATTCTACCATATTCCTTCTCTAAACAAGACGCCACCTTTGAAGAACTTGATCCAAGGAGTCAAGGTGTCCTCACATTGATCAACCAATCCATCAATGCTAGCAAGGATGCCATCATATCTACTTCAAGGGTCAACTTTTCAAGAAAGATATTTAACAAATTTAGACTCTCGAAGCATCACAACACAATATCCATACAATGAAATATGCAACTTTTAAACCTCTCTTCTAATCCTAAGTTGGTTATCACAACTCAACAACACCATGCTTAAATGCCCGATGCATTATCAACATTCATCATTTCAACAATACAACAACGTCATGCATATAACAATTTCAACACAACAACACAATCACATGACCTACAACTCATCTCAACTTTCAACTAATGACTCATAACACAATCATCACATACATCATCATCCATGCAACTTATTGACCATTATTTAGTCATCAAACAACTCAATCAACAAGTATTCAAGAATTATCAAATCAAATACATGTGTTCCTTCAATAATCAACATTCGATGCCGCATACTCAACATCTGACGCCATCTAGGTAGAGAATTCTCTATCTCGTCCACGCTTGGCACTTGACAATCCACGTCCGACATGGATAAGATAGAGGCCCTTAAGACCTCATGCCTAGTATGAAAAAAATGTCACACTCAACCTCATTTCAGCCAAAGTGTCTTTGCCTAACTCACATCCAACATCACCATACTAACGCCCGACGTCATCTAGATAGAACTCTAGTTTGGCCATGGAAGGCGCTACTCAACCTTGAGTCCAACGTCACCAAGTCAAAGACCTCCCAATATTTTCATGTCCAACGCCATTCAAACTACGTCTGACACCATTTTAGTCTGAAACAAGTCTTTCTCCTTATGTCTGACGCTATCGATCTTATGCTTGGCATGATTGAGACAAAGAGCCTTATGTTGGAATGATGTTCGACACCTTAAAGACGCGCTCAACGTGATATTAAAATTCTACATGTGCAAAACTCAATTTTGACCCAAATTTGAAACTCAAAAGGGATCCAACACATGCAACATCAAATATTAGTTATATATATTACAACTAACACATATATGCACTTAGAATTAACATGCAACCACAAATCATTTGACACCATCATATTCTTCGTATGAACCCCAAACCCCAACCTTTAAGTAAACCTTCTTTAATTCAGTCAACTCAACCATAACATCACAAAATCCAAACAATATTCAACACTGGAATTATCCAACAAATGCAAAATACAACATAAAAGCCACAATTTCAGCTTTCCTTACCTCGAAAATCCCTAGGTCAAGAAGAAGAGGAGAAGGAAGAAGAAGAAAACAATCTCTAAGCAGATGAACAAGCTTAATTCGAGGTTCTTATTGACTTGAATCAACAAACAACACTAGCTTTACTTAGAATCAAGAAAGCAAGAAGGGAGGACTTAGAGTTGAAGAAAACTCACAAATCAGATGTTTTCTCTCTAGAACTTTCTCTCTTTAAAAATCTGATAATTTAGGTTTATGAGGCTCTATTCTAAATAGAAAGCTTATATACTCCTTTTCTTGAGGGTCAAACTAGATATCTATCTAGAAAAACTTTTAACACTACTGAAATTCATAAGAAATTTTCAAATCTTAAAGTTTATCAACTCATAATACAACTCAACTTAATAACATGAAAACAACTTAAAATAAATATAATACTCTACAACTTACTTAGTTACATATATAAATAAAAACATATATAATACGGCTGTGAAATCACCCGTTATTTTTCATCTTTTGAATTACTAAATTATTCAAATAATTATAAACATGGGGGTTGCTACTGTACCCCTGATAAATGAGGGGTTTTGGTACTGTATCTGATGTGTATGTACACATCATTTAAATGCCATGTCAGCTTTTTAAATAAAAATTATTTTGTATTTAAATTTTTACGTTATTTATTTTTTAAGTTTTTATCCACCTTTGCAAACTTGTTCCTACTGAGGTCAAGTGTTTCAACCGCGGGAAGAAGCTGCAGAGACTCGTCCATGAGAACCAAGCCATTACACGCACATGACACAAAAGACAAGCGGTTCCACTGCGGAGACTTCTTCACCTCCGTTATCCTGCTAGCAAACACGTGCCGCAGAGCATCCTAATAACAAAACTCAACACTCAGCAAAATTGCGAAGAAAGAAAGCAAATAGAAAACGAATACGACTCACGGTAGAGTTGTGACAAACGATCTTCTCGAGTGTGTGGCGGAGCTCGAGCAAGCCTTTGGCGGCGGAAGTTGACAAGTCGCAACCTCTGAGTTCGAGAACCTTCAAGCACCCTAACGGAAGAAACGACAAGGGCGTTGGATCCCTGATTGGATGAGGCAGCACCGAAACGACCTTCAGCGAGGTGAGGAGGCGCAGGATCCGGCGGAGCTGCTCCAGAGCGCGGTGGTCACCGAGGTCCGACACGTACGCTCGGAGGTAGTCCACCGGAGCGCCGGAAAGGAGGCTTTCCAACTCGTGCAGCGCCTCCAGCCTCGTTTGCACGTAGTGAAGACCCGCTGGATTCAGCTTCAACACCAAGGCTCCTTCGATCAGAGGTCCCGCCTGGTCCTCCACGAAGTGCACCAACTTCTCGAGGTACCGATCTCCCCGGTCACAATCGCCATTCTCCGCTGATGAGGTTTTCGCGCACACGTCGGGGATTAGGGTTTTTGCAGCGAGGGAAGAAATAGGAAGGCAGAAAGATTCGGAAAAAAAAATTAAAAAACGTAAACATCATACGTGGATGTGAATTTTAAATAATTAAAAAATTATAAATAACTTGAATTTACACGTAAGTGACACATCATCAACAGTACCGGTACCCTTCTTTTATAAAGGGTATCGTAGAAATTCTCTATAAACATTGCTTAATGTCTTGAGCATTGCAGTATAAATATGTACACTTTTAAATTATTAGTTACTTTAGTGAATGTAAATTTAAATATAATGCGTAGATGAAACTTGAAAGAATCCTAATTTTAGCATATGTTATTTGCTTTGTGCGTCGGCTTCTCTTCCTTGCTTATTATCAATCGCATAACCAAAAACTTATCCCGCAGATTTGGATTTAGTATATTCCTAATTTCTATTAGCAAGAAAATAACAGAAGATCAAATTGATTAAAAGAGAAGGAAGAACAAGAAAATGGGACTCACAAATGTATTGAACAAGTTACTAGATCATTCCCTACCAATCTCTGATATATAGTCCAATAGTGTCATAAGATATTTGACACGTTTCATATCTTGTTATCTTTCATCTCATAGCATCACATCATTCATTAAGATTTCTTTCTCTTCTATTTGTGTTTCTCTTACCAAAGTGTCTAGCAAACATTATTCTTTCCTCAATAATCGAACACGTAAATCAGGGTTGGCCTTTTTGTCATTTTCAACTCTTTTCATATTCATGGTATCATTTTATGTGTACTCATACGTACCAGATTATTTATTCATGGTTATCACCTTGCCCTGGCTTCACTGTCACATGATCCCACACATGTGTCCCCTAATTAAATAATTGCTAAAATGTCTCGTGGGACATTAAAATGATCAGAATGTACGTATTCACATTTTTTTCCATACAAAATTCAATGCTATAATAAATAGAGAGAAGAGAAGGATTTACTCAATTCTGCAACAAAGCAATAAACACAAGCGTACAAAATAGTTTATTCTAAAATTAATTCCTTTCTTTCTTTGTCTTCTTTATCTAATGTTTCTGTGCAAGACACGAGATTGCTTCTGCTTTTATATTTTCTCTCGTTGCTTTGTAGGTCTTGTACTAGCTTTCCAAAGGAAGAAAGTGAGTTGATTCCTGAGTTGTATCATCTTTCCAAGGTTCTTTTCCTGAACTTTTTGTCTCTGTGTTCGTGTGTGTGCGTGCCTTGGAGTTTCTTGATTTTTGGTACATGGTGTTGAAAGGTACGGTAAATGTTGTTCATAAAATAAAAATATGTTTCTTTGTTATTCTAATGCCACCCTCAAAACTTTCTTGGTCCTTGTTCTTGAATGAAGTGAGTGCTTTTTATATGAATGATGGCCTTGGCTCTAACCGATAAAACAGAAATTTCCATTTCTTTGATGGTGGTTTGATTTGCTTGTTATGCAAGAGTAATATAGGGTGCACCAGATTAAAAATCTTGAAATTATTTTGGCAGTTTTTACCAAGACATTTTTTTTTAACTTATCTTTGTCCCCTACTCTTTATTGACTATATCATTCGTCTACTTTTGATCATTGCAGTCATTTAAGTATACGATTGCAAAGACTGTACATGTTTTTCTTTTAAATGAATAATGCTTAAGTTGTATCATACTAATCAATCTTTCAAGGAAAATTTTACCGTATATAGTTATCCTATTGTAAAAACTAAGTTCAAGTTATTTCAACTTAGTAAGTGATTTTAAGTTTAAGTCATAGATACTCGGCTGCATTAAATAGTCAAAGAGAAAATTTTATACTTGATTCATGTATGATTGTCTCATAAGATACACGTGACCTCATACCAAAATTTCGGTTTTTGGTTTTCTTCCAATTTTTAAATTGCAATTTGCTTGTATCATCAATTGTAAACTTGGAACACCCAATTATATGTAGGTCATTTTGGGTTCAGAGGTTGCATTCCCTACTTTTGATACAAAAGTTTCCTTGAGGACATTCTTTAACTATAATTTATGTTATTTTTCTTAAACAAGTTGCTCAAAATTCCAAGTTTGAGTGCCAATTTGATTTGATTTTGATGTTCTACAGAAGCTAATTCCATGATGCTCAAAGATCTAATGGAAGAAAAGCAGTTAAATTTCAATCAGCCACTATTATCAGTAAGGCGGTTCTCATCAACAGTGGCCTCAGAAACAGACCACAAAAGCAAAACTGATAACCCATTTCTTCCACCTCCTCCCGCTTACAAATCAGACTTAAAGTCAGTTCCAGTGAGGAATGCAGGAACTGTTCCTTTTTTATGGGAGAAGGCCCCAGGAAGGCCCAAAGATGAAAGCAAATTACAGGCACAAGCTGTTGAGGAGCCTCCAATCATCACTCCAAACATTCCACCTGGGAGAGTGTCACACATTAGGCAACAATCACTTGCTGATATGAGAACTGGAAGCACCCTTTCCAACTCTCAAAGTGTTGCTTCTTTGGATAGAAAGTCAACAAAATATTCAAAAGATGATAAGGAGAAGGGAGGTTTTGATTCAGATGATGGAGATGAGGCCTATGAAGATGCTCTTGACATACTTTCCAGGACTGACTCATTCTTCATGAGCTGTAGTGTGAATGGTTTGAGTGGATGGGATGAACAAGAGGTACAACCGTGCGGAAGTTTCTCAAGTGATTTCATGATTGATAGGTTCTTGCCTGCAGCAAAGGCAATGACATCTGAAGCACCTCAATATGCTTCCAAGAAGGCACATGTTGGACAAGAGCAACAAAAACAGAAAAAGAAAGAACTGAATACAGAAAGTTCATGTCCCTTTAATCAGCATAGGCCAAAAGCTTTGCCATATTACAACCAAGATGCTGATAGGGAAGAAAGTGAAGATGAGAGTGATGATTGCAATGAAAATGAAAATTACACAACCACAACCTGTGGCCGATTTCCTCGGTTCTGCCTTTTGAATCCAATAACTGGACTGAGGATGGTGGATAAGGTTCAAAGAAATGCAGCTCATGGAATGCAACCTAAATCAGCTGCTTCTCACATTGAATGCACAAAAGAGGTCTTATTTTGTCTCTATCTATTTCTTTTTTCTTCTTATGTTATTAATTCATTTTAGGTGGTGTATCTTTATTTCACCTTTTTCTGTAGCAAGCTAGGACTCCTTATAGGAAAAAGTTAGACTCCCAGTCTGGCTTTACAGATGAAAAAGAGATTTTGGATATTCTTGTGAAATCTAAACATGGCAATGATCCACATCAAAGAAGTTGCAGCAAATCTGTATCCTGTGAGAGCACTCAGCATGATCCTAGTTATGAAAGCTATGCTGAGAAAACTCTGCATGTAGATTCTGTACATAAAGTTAAGTCTCAAACCAATAACATAGGGGGTGATTTTGAGACTTTGAGAAGGGATAATGGCATTTATAATAATCCTTCAATAGACTTAGAAAAGCAAGGATTGACAATGCCTCACAACCAAGGAAGTGACTTATATCAGGATTCTAATATTCTAACTCAGAATTCAGAACTTGATATGAAAAGCCAACTAGCTACCAAATGTTTTGATCAAGAATGCACTTTGGCTAGCTCAAAGGTGAGACATGATGGGATGATTGACTTAGAAAGCCAATGTCTTACAAACTTGGGCCATCAAGAAAAATATGGTGCAAACTATTTCCCACTTCCTCTTGTCCTCCCTTCACTAAAAGCTCCATCAGAGTCTTGGCTTAAGCGCACTATACCTACCATTTCCAAAAGGAAGATGACTTCACACTCTAACCTTATTGCAAACATTTATGCACGAAGTCTAGTTTCCAAGACAACAGCACTTTAAGAGGGAAACTATTGTCAAATCCTCTAATGTACATCATGGACATCTGAATCTCCCTGAGGTAATTTGATAACTTTCTTTGTGCATGTATTGTGAAACTACTAATGTGGGAAATAGAAGCATGAACTCCTTCAATTTTTCAGGAACTACAAACATGCACACCAGAAACTTGAGCTTTATGGAGATCAGGCCTTTTATAATCTGACATGTTTACAAAAAATTTGGTGATGTAATTTTTGCATCAGTGTTATGTGTTCCCATCCTCCATGAGGTGTATATAACTGACACTGTAAATCACTACTGCCTTTTGTATCTTGTTATTGTAATAATAATTAGTTGAGTCAATAAAAAAAGTTTGGATTTTTTCCTTCACTAGCTTTTCAAAATTACAAATATATTATTGAATGCATATATCAATTAATACAGGATTGTTTAAGATTAGTCGATGCGCTTATATTTAGTTGTGTTTATATTTTGTAGCGAGAACTTTGTAATTTATAATAGCTCTATTCTATATTATTTTTTATTTTAAAGATACTTATTGTCTTGTAAAAAAAAGACTTATATATGTTTTCGATTTCTACAAATATTATTTTATCTTGTTTTATTGTAAAATTTTGTCTCTTTTAGATTCTTGATCTTTTATTAATGTTCTCTTGTAATTCTTATCTCTAACTCTAGTTAATTTAGTATTAAAATGGTTAACAAAATATAAAAAAGAGAGTTCAAATGAGAGCAGTGTAATTTTTACTAAGTGTTACACTGCTCAATAACTTTATATTAAATGTGAATTTTATAAATCTAACCGTTAGATTAAAAGTTCTTTACTCTTAGATCATATATACAAAGTTTTATAGTAATCCAAGATGATTTGATACTTCATTCTTATAAAACAAAATTGACGTAATATATTTATTTCAAAATATACTAAAATATGAACACTTTGATTACCCTCAAGTTGTTGTTCAATTTTAATAAAATTTGACATACACATATAATTTTTAGCATATCATTAACAGTATTTTTTTAATGTTATTCTTACTTTTTAATCTACTAATTTATTTTTAACTTTATATATTTAAAAAAACTATAATTTACTTAAACACTTATAATTTATTTTTAATACATTACTTTTATTGTTGGAGACAAAATTACTAATTGTAATATATAAAAAAATAAATTATGTTACAATCAATTAAAATTAATAATTTGATATTTAAAAATAATATAAAAATTAAGGTATTGAAAATGCATTATAAGAAGTCTAAGTTAATTATAATATATTTTTTCAAAAGGGTACAATATTAAAAAAAAAAAACAAATTGAAGTAACAATATTTTTTTGAGAAAAAATAAAATAAAATGTAATAAAATTACTGTTCATGATACATTAAAAATAAAAAAAAATTATAAAAGAAAGTTATATATAATAATCTTATTTATATAAAATAATAAACAAATTGTTTAATTAAAATATACACATAAAAATAATTTAGTTATCTTAACTTTATATATTATTTGTTAACTTAATTAATATTTTATATTTTATTACCTATTTTAACACTAGACTAACTTGTAACTAGAGTTAGTGACAATGATTAAAAAAATATTAAGAAAATGTGAAGGATATAAAAATGACAAAAATATTTACAGGAATTAAAACAAGACAAGACGATATTTGCCTAAATTATATTTAAGTCAAAAAAGAACTACTGTTTTACAAAATAATTTTTGAAAAAAAATAATTAAAAGGAAAAGAAATCCATTCAAAATAAAAGTTCAAAAATAAATTTAGAAAATTTATTTAATGGGCTACCGTATTTGACCTAAGGCCCACATAATTAAATTCACTCAATTCAACCCAAGATTTTAGTGGTCCAGAATTGACAGCCTATAAAGACTAACCCTCTTCAACTTTCAAAATGGTAAATGGTTATTTCTCTTGCTTAATTAACTAGCCTAAATTTTTTTGAATCATGGCCTAGACCCACACAGCTACAAACTTCAAGTTCAAGGGCTTTGAACAACCTGTCCTAGAAATAGAGGAAGAGCTTCGGTCAACGGTTTCGCCCAAAGAAGTTCTCTAAATAGTCTAATATTGGGTAACAATTCAAAGGAACAGAGGCCCAAATGAGACAAAAAAAAAAAAAAAAGTAAAAGAAACTCATTGAAGATGGATCTAGAGGATGGTGATTGCTAAATGGGGGCACAAATATCTCAAATCTATATCATGAATCAAAAAGGTTGCACCTGGAGCTAGAGGATGCTCCCAAATGAGTCAAACTTTAAGGAATATAATGGCAGTCACAAGATGTATATGACAGTTAATGTTAGTTGACCTACTTCATATTAACACACCTTATTCAGTTTTTGTCCACGCCATGTAAAATCACATTGTTTAATACTTTATTTAGATAATAATATACGTGGCATCCTTCATACACAATAAACATCATGGATCGGTTATTAGTTGGACATGCCAGCTTCTACACAATAATACCCATTGATTCAATTTATTTATTTTTATTTGCATTTAATTTTTTCTGGTCATCTTTAAAGGAAAAAAATAAAATATCTAGTATCTAGCAAGTTATGAATACTCTAATAACTCAATATGATGACATGTTTTGTCATTATATATATAGAGAACTTAAGTGTGAACTAGAAGTTGGAGTAGTGAAAGATGGATGAAGACTTGTCCTTCTCCTATGTGACTTTTGGGTCAATGGTGTTGTATTTGTTTGGCATGATCCTTGTATCCCTCTCAATAATATCAATGGCCATAGTTTCTTGCGGTGAACATGACGACTCCAATAGGTCTCGGGAAAGAAAGGGAGGTGATAATAGTGGTGGAGGAGCTGAGTGTTGTGTTGGAGAATGAGTATATATGAAATATCCCGATTTGGTCACTCACTATGTATTCAGGCTACGCATATATGGCACGATCGATTAGGGGTTAGAGAGAAATTTGCAATTAATTATTTCATCGTTACATGGGTTGTATTGTATGGACTCGACGGCAAACTGGCAATGGGAATTGTGGTGCTATTTTCTGTATATTAATAGACAGAAATGTTATTATACATATCATCTTTTATTAGAAATCACCATGTGAGTACACTGATTAATTAATATGTGATTGTTTTAGTTTAATCTGTAATTTTTCATTGTGTAAAAATTCTTCAAGTTAACAATGATTACAATATTATAAGTGATATTAGTCTTTAATTTTACGATATTAGTCTTAGATATAATAGATTAAAGGATAATCAAGGAAGTAGGACAAAGAAAAAATGTTTAACTTATAGTTTTAACGTTAAGTGTTGAATATGCAATTGGTCTAAATATATAAAAATTTTATTAGTAAATTTTTTCTTTAGGAAGTTTATGAAACACTTTTAATTAAGTTTTATTTATATTAAAAAAAAATATTTTACCTTGTACCAATAATAAAGCAATATCAATTTTTTATTTAAAAAAATTACTAATTAATTAATTAGAGAAGTTATTATTCAAAAGTCTGTCTTGAAATATGAAAATTAATTTAATATTCTTAAATTTAATTTTTGTATGTGTCAAAATAATATTTGATTAATAGAAGTTACACTTTACGATGATGATAGAAAAAAAGAAATAATTATTTTTTAAAAGATATGAAATGTATGTATTGATACTGATTTTAATAAAATAAAATAAATATTTGTAAAGATATTATAAAGTTAAACATTTGACTTTAATAACTATTTTAGAGCAAACATATTAATTAGTACTGTTGTAAGATTAAGTTCCCATCCTTTCTGCGCATAAATCAAATTTTGAACCTAACTTATTGTTTCTTGTTTCTTACAAACTAATCTTTAAAAGAAAACAAGGGATTATTTCTTTCAATCCCCGCCCCCCACCACCACAATTTTACTGAACCTTATCTTAATAGAGATTTCATTTTTAAAATATTTTTTAAATCATTTGGTTGAAATTTCTGTTTTGACATCCACCTTAAATTTTAGAGAGAGAGATGGTTTTCTTATAATTTATTAATGAGCCCCCCCTACAAACCTGAAGTTAGAGCTTGAGCTGGCTCTTCTAGGGTTTGAATCTACCATTGAGTCAATGGTCTATTATTTAAATCAAATTAAATGACAATAATAATGCATAATATTCTCTCTAATTAATTCTTCTTATGTAAATGACATAAAAAGTCAAATAACTAAAATTACTTATTTAGTTTGAAGACCGAGTAAAGGTCCATGCATGCATATATGTGATTGTTAAGACAAGTACTTAGAAGATCTCACTCCTATATGCTCTATTTGACACGGTTAGATCCTAATAAGTACTCATCCCAAACGACTCCTTGGTGCATAATTTTGGAAACAAAAACTCTCAACATGGGTATTGTCTTTATGCTGTTCCCTACATTGAGCTTGCTGTGTTGAATTTGAGGATGAGGAAGTGAACAACGAAAGAGAGAGTCTCGTATTAATTTCTTGTTCACTTTCTGCATCTTTGTTCATCAGGTGATCTCTAACATTTATTGAATCTTGACTTAGTTTTAGCTCCATGAAACTAGGTGGCCCTTTCTTCTCATTCAACCTTTCTAGTTGATCCTTCACGTGGCCTTGTTTGGATGCTGGAACATGATTTATGAATTCTGGCATTCGATTTTTCACATTATGAACCTACAATTCCAAGTATTAGTATACCAAACTTAATTAACCATATAAAAATTACTATATAATATGATTTTTTTCCCGCACAAATCCATTACCAATTAATGTAAATGTTTTTTTATTAGAAAATACTAATTTAATGAAAAATATTATGAAGTTGGATATAAATTAAGTTATGCCAATAGTTTTTGTTAAAAAAAATGTTCTTTAAATTTTTCACAAAAATAGAATCTAAGAATCATTTAATGAAAAAATAAAATTAAACATCAAGTTATTATATAGATTGTTAAATTGAAAATTCTTAATATATAAATAAATTTAGTAAATTTTTAAAAAATTAAAAAATTATTTAATACTGTACTTTATTAATTCAAATTAACAGATAATTATAAAAATATTTTATTGTTAATTTAAATTAATGAAATGAAATATCAAATAATTTTAAAATATTTTAAGAATTGGCAGATTTAATATATATCATAAATTTTTTTTAATTTAATAGTTAAATCACTAAAATATAATGTAAAATATGAAAAATTGAATAAAATAAATCTATTAAAACTTACCCTTAAATAAATAATCTCTTTTCTCTATATCTATATTTTTACATTTTTTTATTGTGAGGATTGATATCAGTTGTACAATAATTTAAAAAACTTATTTTAACCGATGTTGTACCCCTTTCTTATGAATATATGCCCATTTTTTATATAGGGAGGGGTGGATACTTTTGTTTGTTTGTCAAATTGGGGATTGAAAGGTGTACGTGCTCAGATGACGCCACGTTTTCACTTATATATATATATAAATAAATGATTGTATTCAAAATCAAATTATCCTATTTGAATTAAAATTATTTATATAATTAATAAAATATTTTAACTTACCTATTTCTCATAATTAGGCAAATCAAATATCAATTATCTTATAAATGCAATTAAAAAATGTGAGTAATTAATGCAGCAGTTTATATTACCTCGGCATCAAACTTGGCGCGGCTAGTGAAGTTAGGACTGTAGGAACTACGTTGATACTGGTAATTATGTAAATCTTTGTCCCACACTGAACTTGATCTTACGATCATGTGACTACTGAAAAGCCCTGTGGGGTGTAATCTACAGAGAATAACATTAAAGATATATATCAAAAGATTCAAAACTTTATCCATGTTTTAATATACATATAAATCTTCTGATACCTTGAAGGGCCATGAGCATTGACTTCATAAGGTGGTTGTTCCAGAAACAGAGATGATGGCAGATAGTTCCTGTTATCAACGCCAAAGTGTCGTGGGGCATTAAGTCTTCCGTACATGTCAAAAATAGCATGCCTTCCTTGCATTGCCCTATTTTGGGATAAAACTGAAAGAAAACACACTGAATAATCATGCATGTGATCGATGTAAACCCTTGGAATCATGAAATAGGCATGCCACGTGCAAACATGGTTCACAATTTTCTACAATATTAAGGTTTTGAAATATTTACCTTGACCAGATTCATCAAGCTTTTTACTTCGATACATCTGAATTTCAAAAATATAACTAAGGCGTTACACGAATGTATAAAAAATATTACTTGGCAAACGGACCAGTTAATTAATTTTTGCTGGCTGGAGTACAATAATATCAAGCAACAAAACCCATTAAGTTTTGTATAGCTGAGATTCTAGATATGATCATACCTGCAAATGACTCTTCACATGTGCAATGCTAAGTCCTCTCACATTCATCAACTGGAGAACCAACTTGGGCGTTGCTCCTGTATCCAATATTATCAGTGAAAACGTAAGGCTCGAAAATATATAATGTTTGGAATGGACTTAATTTTTGAGAAATAATGTTTGTTTCAAGTTCAAAAGAAATTAATCTATAAAATTTTCCAATTCTTCCATTTGGTTACTAGCTATTAGGTTGAGTGGATATAAATTTAGTCTCTTTAAATAAGATTTTAAGTTCAAGTCTTGTAAAAAAAATGTAATTATAGAAAAAGATATCACTAAAAATAATGAGATTAATTTGTTGACAGATATTGATTATTGACAAAATTGATATGCTTTATGTTTATAACATTGTATCACACACAAAAAAAATATCTAGTAATTAAGTTTATATGCTTGAAATGAGTTACACTTACTTTCCTGTCCTCCAAGCCTCTCAACAGCATGCACAAAAGCCAAATGAAGATCAGGAGTCCAACGGAGCCTTGGCATTTTGGATCTCACATATTGCCTAACCGTATTTGCACGTTCTTTCCCTTCTTCACTTGAGTTATTATTACTACTCAAATTACCTTCTTGAGATGATATCTCATTGTTTGGGCCATCATCACTACTGGTGCTATCATCTCCATCATTCACAGCTTCTTCATTCAAATCGAACAATGAACGTTTTCTAAGACTTGGAGAAGAGGGTTTGCTTCCTTTACTCTTGTCTTCTTCGGATATGCAAATTCTCTCATCCATTTCTATTTAAGTAATCAATTCTTCTAATTCTATATACTCCTTTTTTCCTAGTAGAGATGGTATAGAGTGATGGTCAGAAAGATACGAAAAACACATCCCCTTATAATTTTGTCATTTGTTCAATAAGTATATATTGGCATAACCAAGATGATATGTTTCATATGTGGGTAAAACTAAATGTATAATTTATTAGTTGTACTGATTTTGAAGACACTATACATGATGCTTTAGAAGGACTCCCTGTCTTCTTACACTTGTACCATAAATTTTTTACAAGTCTTTGCTTCTTCCTAGGTCTTGGAATTCCACTCTCACCAATATATAACCTACACAATTTGAAAATTGTGACATGTATATAGAAAATCGCATCACCTACAATATACTACCTATACCTAAGTGTAAGTGTAGTACATGATCTATGTAGTTTTAGTTTAAATTCTTACTGTGAATATTAGTTAGTTTGTGCTTAAGCTTTTTTTTTATTTATTTTTTTTACACAAAGGTTATTTCCTGTTCCTTTTTTTTTTTTCGTGTCGAAATTAAGGAAATAGGGGGATTTCTAATTAATTAATACTCACATTTGAAACTTCCACGATTGATTACACGAATAAGAATTCTGAAAACAAATTACAGCCTTTCTGAATTCAAGTGCTATAGAAGGATGAGATCCAAAACCAAGAAAAGTCAAGACTTGAAGTCAAATACAAATGCTTATTGCTATAAAGATAAGTGAACATATTATATCATTTGAAAAGAATATCGAAAACATGTAGATGAGAAGACTAAACAATTTGAATTGTTCATAAGGTGCAAGAGAGAAAGAGAGATAGCTGCATATATAGAGATAGAAATAGAGAGATGAAAGTAGTTTTGTGCAAACCATTGATGACGATGAAGCTTAATAACAGCCTCAAGTATACATCCCTTCCAATTAGGTAACTGCGACCAAATAACAAAACCACCACAGATGATTCAACAGAAGCAAAAGCTTGTTTTCCAAGATCCAACCAAACCAATTTCTTTGGAGATCCCAAAATCAGTGTTGAAACTGATCAAAAGCAGAAAAAAGGGTGATCAAGGAGAAATAGTATTTGAACCCTTGTTCATGGATCCAATATCTGTTGATGAAAGGAAACCCTATATATGTGCACAGAGAGAGATTACTGAGTGGTAAGGTTCCTTTATGTATTAAGAAGCTCAGGGTCCATTATTAGCAAGTGGGACTGGTTGGAATGTAAGGAAAATTAAGCCTAAAATACCATTAGTCATCGTACATCAAATCAAATATTCTCACAAATTAGAATATTCAAATATAATAAAATATTTTACATGTAGAAGACGATGGTCGGACAAAACCACTTGTGTTTTTTCTCTATTTTTTAATCCTTTTACATTTTGATTTTAAAACATTTGAGTTTGCAAGTAGCTAGCAAGAGCTAACAACACACACTAGATCAAAGGCACACTTATGACCCCTATTTTGGACTATTGAGAATCATGTGATTTTTTTTAAGCTTATTTTTATTTTTCCAATTTTCTTTGACAGGTTGTGTCCCTACGCCTCTCTTCCAATTTCCTTCTTGCCTACCTCTCCCTGATAATAATCTTTACTATTAGTCATTAGTTGACCTCTGTTACTGACAACTCCCATTTGTTTTTGATTAATTTTATTTTTATAAAAATATTCTTAGGTTTGTAGCCCAAGTAATTTACATATCAATTTTGAAGAAGCATATTGACCAAGATTTATAACTCTGAGCTCTAGCTAATCCTCAAACAAATCAATTATAAATTCCTTTTCTACTCTCTCTTAATGCATTCTAGTTGCTATCATTCTTTTGTCCGAACCAATCCATTTTCTTCTATTTTGGTTTATATCGTTTTAGATAGCGTGTTACATAACCTATTAATTAAGTTGGTTTTAATTCTTAATTTTTCCTTTAAATGTGACAAGCTAGTACAAAGCATATATGTGGAGGTATAAAAACATTATTAACCCGATAATTCTATATATGTGAATTATTTATCAGCAGAAGGATAACGAGCAGTATATAGAATTAAGACCGAAATTCCAATAAAAAAAAAAGTACTCTATATATTCATCCTATATGGCCTATGACACTGAAGACACAACCGCCTCAAGAGTCTGACTTGAAAAACAAAGATGTTTCAGACTTTTCAAAGTTTTGTCTTGGTAAGCAATATCCATTATTTTTCTACGTTTCGACTCTTTTATGGTAGGAAAAGTAGAACTCCTAGCAAGTCCTAAACTAATATATAATCAACTCCAAATCCCAAAATATAAAATAGTCAAATATATATGATCTATAACCTCGAAAAGTTAATGTCAGTATGTCTTAACTAATAAATAATGGAGACATTGGCAATGATAGGGGTAAAGAAAATGTAGGGGCAAAGTTTTTGTCCTATATGCTTCTTTTATCTCGGAAACTAACTCTGAATGCTTGTATATGTCCGAGTATATATATATATATATATATATATATATATATATA